TGCTGTATCGAAAACGCTTTGCAAAAAACCGAATGGAAAGTGTTACTTTTGAGGAAGGTTAAAACTCCAGTTTCTTCTTGGGTTTGCTATTTTTCACAACTTAATTTTCTCGTGTTCCCTTACCCTGAATTTTTTTCTCCCTAACTTTTTTTTTGGTTTCTGGACAAATTAAACCTTGATCTCACTCTAGTTGTCGTTTTTTTTAACTACTGTCCGATTATGTTATCACTGCCGTCCGATAATATATTATTGGACTGCTAATCATTATTATCGGACGGCTACAGGTAAATTTTAAGACTGCAGGAACAAAGGCATGACGTCACAGTAATGTTTTAATTGTTGTTAAACGTCTCTCTCGAAAAATTTTTCACTCATATGGAGACGCCACCACTTGCCGGTGGAGAGTTGCAAATTTGGACCTTTACTCGGCACTCAGCGATTCTAGAGCCAACGCTCTAACCACTGCGCCACGCGGGCGAGGAATGTTGTATATGAAAATTGAATTAATACAAGTTCATTATGTTTACCTGGAATATCGTCGTAAGTAAAATCTCTGAAATATGTGTGTCTTATTTGAATATCACAAATTCTCTAAATCTATGCAGACTCTGCAGACGGTCGATGTTCGATAAATGATTTAAGTGTAGTTTTAATTCGAATATTTTGGATTAAAACATTTGAAGTCCGAATGTGCACATTCAGATTACATTATGCTTTATTGCAATTTGAACAATTTCAAATTTCAAAATTTTTAATTCTATAGTTGGAGAATCTTCTTTAACAAACTCTGCTCTTCATTCAAGGTGTGGGGATGGATACTACGACGCAGAAAAGTTATGAATAAATAAAAAGCTTCTGAAAAGATTGTTTATCAATTGGAGATTTTTGCTTACGTTTTTCAGTACAATTATATTTTACGCATCACTTGTCGCTTAATAATTCTTTCTTAATTTTAAGATAGATGTTTTGTATGTTATATAAATACCGTAAAGAAATCAATAATAAAAAATTGTTGTAAAGCATTTTTTTTCTAGTCGATATGATTTGCATTAAATTGCCCTGTAAAGTTATACAGAGCAAGAATAAAACTTATTTCATAAGCAAATGTTAAGTTAGTCTAAAAAGAGATTATTAATATGTTTAAATACCTAGTATGCCCTTAAATGTAAACATTCAGTATTCCATTTCTTTCTTGCTTCGATAACTGTTTTCTGAAGGTGTTTTTAAAATAAATAATATTTTGCGTTCCATCGCCATTCCTTTTATCTTCTTTGATAGAATGAAAAACAAAAATTCTTCTCAGATTTGCTTACTTTGTATCATATTTGCATATTCTCTATAATTCCTCTCTGTAGATCTGTATCTGCAGTTGCATTCAGTCTAAGCATAAATTGTTCTATTAACTCACATACAGAAATAGGTTATATGATTACTATGCTGATCAGGAGGATATATATATCGCCGAAATATGGCTGAAATATTGCTGACTCGACGTTTAACAATAATAATCAGGAGGATATATTTGAAAAATGTTAAAAAGAATAAATTATCAAAGGGAGAAATGAGAGAAAATATTATATAAATAGTGCACGTTTTTAGGGGAAACAGTTGAAATTGACGCCCCAAGGAAAACCATTGACAATGGTTTTCCGAGGGGTGTCAATTTCAACTGTTATCCTCAAAAACGTGAACTATTTATTTTATTAGACTGAATGTCCTATTGATTTCGGATGTCATAAAAAAATTCGAAGATGGTCGTTAAGTTCACGTTTAGAAAGCTTTCAAACTCCCCGCTCTATTTTTCTCAATAAGAAAGCTTCGGAAAAGATTTACCAACCTCGTTATTGTTTGTTTGCTACTCAAAAAGTCCTTTATCATCAAAAGTTTGCACTCGCAAGGATGTTTCGTCTGTCTTTGTTGTTTTCAAGTGAGCTACATCGGACGCAAGCTTTTATTGACGTCGTTTATTCGGCTTCTTTGAAACGCACAACCGACGTTATGAGAATTCTACGGTGAACCGTACTTGCATGCGTTTGAATGCATGTGCCATTTTCGTAATGTTACCCGTTGTCAAGTGTGTTGCTAACGCTGAGGGTAACATTACGGATTGTTAAATGCGCCTAAACCAATCAGATTTTAGTATTTAACATGAAAGTATAATAATAATTATTATTCTTTTTTTTTCTTTTTTTTTTCAAATTTTAGAAAAATCTTTTTAGCAACGTTCAACATTGTACATAATATAACATATATAATATTAGATGTATAAGAAAATCAATTATTGAAAAATACAACTTAACACATTAAGGAGTTTCGATCCTGAGCTTTTGAGCAGATTTTTGTCTTGATCTTTTTTTTTCTTAAATCTGCATAGAATTTAAATTACTGTTTAGATTCTACAATGCAGATCAAACTTTAGTCAATAAAAAAAAATGCGATTAAATTCCATGCAAACAGGATTATATCAGGAATTCATTTTGTAACGGAATGTTTTTTTTTTAGAAGAAAAAAATAACCAATTTTTCCTCTTGAAGTATTTAAAGAACTGTTAAGTTTAGATTGTTATTTTTCCATACTGTTTGCACAAAGAGTTGTTTTGTGCAGTGAAATGTTTTATACTGGTTCTGAAATGTTTTTATGAACTCAGTCATTATTTAGTTACGGATATAGTAAATATATTATAATATATGATAAAAGTCCAAAAAGAAATTGGTCTAATTTTAACTAAAAATGAACACATTTTAGACATATCTAAAAATTTACATCATAGAACAGCACTTTTGATTTTCTTTTCTGAATATATAAGATATATAAGATAACTTTTACCAATGCTCAAGTTCAGCAAAAAAAAAAAAAAAAAAAAAAAAAAAAAGGCTTCAGCATGATTTTCTTGCTTAAAAAAAAAAAAAAAAAAAAAAAAAAAAAACACCCCCCCCCCCCCCAAAAAAAAAAAAACATTTCGTGAGCACAGAAAGGTCAAAAATTGATTGTGCGAAGTAATTTTGAAGATTTGTTTTATGATTAAGACACAATTTCAGTGCAAAAAAATATCATATCAAATGTACCGTATTGCCAAAAGAAGCATATTGACCCCCCCCCCTTTTTTTTTTTTTTTTTTTTTTTTTTTTTTTTTTGTTGACTTTTAGTTTAACCTATGTGTGTAGATTCTAAAACATACTTGATAAAAAAAAAATCTGTAGACCTTAAATATCAGGATCCAAACACTTTAAAGAAAATATTTCTACATGACAATGTGTGTAGATATGGCTATGGAAAATGACTTCACAATAACGGATAAAAGTTTTCATGACAGTGTGTGTAGATATGACTATGGAAAATGACTTCACAATAACGGATAAAATTCTTCATGACAGTGTGTGTAGATATGACTATGGAAAATGACTTTACAATAACGAATACGACGTTCACCGCTAAAATATACCTTTATATCCCAATTTCTTCATTTATTTGAACTCAATAAAATAGATAAATAAAACAAACTAGAAAATTTCCGATATAACTTTTCACATAAGAAAATACTTCAAATGATACCGTTCATGAAATATGACGAGTGAAATTGTTTACCCTAACAAGAAGTTCGTTAGACATCAGGTACACAGATGGTAAAACTAGTATTAAAAGTACCGTTATTCAGATATCGAATGAAATGTATTGTTCAGATTAATCTTCTGATTTATTTTCATTAACTATTTCTTATTTATGACAAGTAGACTAAAGTCTTGCACAAATCACTGTCAGCCTTACCTCTGCCATTCTTTACAATATCATGGAAAGCAAATTAAGTCATAAACTGTATAAAGTGATCAATACGTTTAGAAGAGAAATTGCTCGGCTTTCAAATTTTCCGGAACATACCGGCAGGGCAATTGCTATCATAATGCCATGTTCACGTAGTGTCATTGTTTTCTCCTAAATCGTTATCTCACTATTTGCTTTCAAGAAGCATGGGTGTGTTGATTCAAATCATCATGAATTTACGAAACCCTGTTATAGTTTTGTTCATTGCCTCTACTCCGTCTTCAAAATCTTTTCATTGTTTCGGCCGAGAAATGCCCAAGTAGTTACCAAAGAATTACAACATCTTAGCATTAATTGATCAACAATAATAACGATCCAAAGCAGTTAGAAAAAAAAAATTAAATAAAAAGAATGAAAAGTAACTACAATTAGCAATAACAGGGTTTCCTATGGGACCTTTAACGTGGCGATCCTGCCACATTCACATTCTTTAGCGCCACAGGTCCGCAAAAATAAAATATGAACGATAAAGTATTTGATCGACATGGTTCAGGAAAATAAATGAATACATTTACAAATTTCAAAATACACCTTAAAATTATAAACTTCTTTCACCTCCTAGTGCTAAACCGTTAATTTACATTAATTAGGGTCCATCATTTACCTTGTCCAAGCAATTACCTTTTCAGTAGACCTCGCTTGACTGTATACATATGAATAAGTCATTTTTATCACATTTCCCGTATGGGTGAGGATGGGGGATTTGGGGTGGGTTCACAGTAACATACATTTGCCAAGTAATTAATAACATTCGTGTATTTGAACTAGTGATTCACAATAGTTGCATCTTTTTCAATGTATCTAGTTATTTCCAAACTTGGTCGTGAAATGACCATGAATATTAGCACTTTGCTTAAGTCTTGCGCCACAGTAAAGAACAAGGTATGGTTTCAATACCAATTTTGCCCTGTATTTTTCTAAAACATGAAAGTGATGTTAGAAATTTAAACTCAAACTTTCTGAATTGTTGAAATTTCTTGCAGTGAGAACATATGAATCGTTTTTCTCATATAACATCTTATATACTAATTGTGACGCCATGAGCTTGTGCATTTTACCGTAGTTTCTTTAAAAAATACAGAATACATCGATTTTTAGTGGAGATTTCTTTCAGATTATATAGAGCATATGCATTGTCACAAAGATTTTGAGAAATGTGATTGTTCAAAGCAATTTACACAATGAATACGGAAATTGATGTGGGAGCCCTCTCGGCTATGGACACTGTTTTCCTAAGGTATATAACCCAAGAAAAAAGTCTCTTCGGGGCTTTTTACTGTTTAAAACTTAGAAATGCACTAAATTAAGGACGACATATTTCCAGAATGGTCCTGTATCATGCCCTTTTCTATTATAATTTATCAGATTCATATACTCAACTCATTCTTAAACCAATTTCAGAACCTTTTGAAAACATTAATTTTTTGAGCACAGTAGAGTCCAACTTTGAACGACGGAGAACCCTAAATAACCGCATGTGGACTCTTGGCAATGGATATTCTCTTTACAGAATAAAGAACCTGAACATTTTTCCTGCAAAATGAGTGACTTAAAATTTTGATGAAAAATATGATTTTTTTAAACAAATTTAAATAAAATGTTTACGAGTTCCTGCATGTTTAATTTACAAATATCTAAGTTTCTGGGTTTTTTTCCTCTCCCATCGGACAATTAGGATACCCCAGTTACCACTTCGTCACAATGACAAATAAAACTTTGTTTTACTTTCTTTATTGCTTAATTAGCGATAAAAATTACTTTATAATATATATTATTTTTTTCAAGAAATGAAAATACACATATATTGAAAATTTTGTCATAAAACTGAAAGTACTCATAGTGAATTAAAAATACTGTAATACCTAAAGTTATCCGAGTTTCTGGACGTGAAGATTGAAGTAACTGTATATGTCTCATAATTATTTAAATGCACTTACATCCCTAATTAGACATCTTAACTTTTCAGGTAACTTGGCTCTTGGAAAATCAACGTGGCAAAGCACCTCCTTCGATTCCACAGTTGGTCCTGAAAAAGCTGTTGACGGTTTAAATTCAGTTCTAAGTTTTGATGGAAAACAATGTAGCATTTCCTTAAATGGGCAAACGACAGCCACGTGGTGGGTGTTTCTCGGGGAGATCTATAATATACATACTGTCGTTATCTACCCCAGAACAGGTGGCTTTGTATGGAGTAAGTATTCCGTATAGTTCTTTTTAAAAAGGAGGACGGTCTATAAGGAAAGATGAGGCAGTATTTTGACTTTTTAATTTTTTTTTTAATTATTATTTTATTATTGTTATTCTCTTTTTCGTCTTTTTTTTTTTATATTTTTTGTCTTAACTTTTACGCTGAAAATATTCTAGGATGACATGTAGAACAAATCTTGCCTAAATTATGTATAACAAGGATAATAATGCTGTTGATATATCTGTATTGATATCAAACCCGATTTCGATTTTTTAAGTATGTATTTCACTGCATTATATTTTTCGTTTGTAACCTTGAATAAAAAGTTTATTTAAATTGCATACATCATTATTATTTTTACACATTATAAATATAGCTGCAATGGTACTGGTAACATGCGGAAAATTGCAATATGTTTTAAATATATGTGCATTTTTATATTGTAAAATAACCAGTTTCAGAAATAAGAAACTCTTAAAGTTTAGTAAAATATCGTTTCTTTCTCGGATTCCAATTGAATATTGTATTTTTTTTTCTATAATTGGATTTGAAGTTGTATCAAGTATGTATGTCGGATACTCCAAAAGATTAAGTACTGACATGTTTATTTAAGGTTTGAGGCCAGGGAATAAAAAGGAAAAAAAATCAATAGATGATATATTTTTAGTTATAATCATTATCAATTTGGAAAAAAAAGTTACCGAAACCAAAGTTGTGATGACGGAATACGAAAGTCTTGTATGTAAGAATGTTTCGTATTTGTAGATTCAGCCAATCAATTTACGTCTAGATTTCTTGGATTTTCTGTGTATGTTTCCAATACGACAGACAAAAATTCAGGGCATTTATGTTTCAAAGATACAGCATACACGAAATCAACGATTCCAGCCGTTGCCAATATATCTTGCCCTGTACATGGACAATATGTCATCTATTACAACGACAGGCTTCCGGATATTTCTTATCCTACTGGTTATTCCAAGTACGCATTTACTGATCTTTGTGAAGTCGAGGTTTATGGTGAGATATTATTTGAATTTTCTCTTATAAAAAACTTACTATAATTTACTATAGTTTATAATAGTTAACTATAGTAAAAAAAAATGATACTTTGAATTACTATGAGACTGTAATCCCGATTTTTTTTGGAACTTTCAAAGTTTAAAATCTCTTAAATTTGATAAAAGTTTTTTTGTTTGTTTGTTTGTATGCTGTTTAACGTCCCTCTCGAGAATTTTTCACTCATATGGAGACGCCACCACTTGCCGGTGGAGAGCTGCAAATTTAATCCTATGCTCGGCACTTACGACCATTGGGCAATGAGGGATCTTTTTCGTGCCAGCACCTACTGCGACACGGGACTTCGGTTTATACAGTCTTATCCGAAGGACCGGTCTCCGCGTCCCACAGTGGGATTCGAAACAGCAACGCCAGGATTAACTCCTTACTCCACGACTCTAGAGCAAACGCTCTAACCACTGCGCCACGCGGGCGACTCGATAAAAGTGATATAAACATTTAAAATAATATGTGAATATACAAGTTGTATTTCAGTTTCATATAAAGAATGTGCAAATATGAAATGGAGAGCAAACACTATAACTAAAATCCATAGTAAAGATATATTCATCTATTACAGTAAAAATTTAATACTATAGTTGACTATAGTAAACTATAGTTAAATATAGTACTTTTTGCGAGGGTGCGACATAAAATTTTCTCAAGAAATCAAATTTTATAAGCACACTGTAGATTGTTGTTTTCAAGAATATGATAAGTTTCGTATCCTAGTGAGTTTGAAATAAAAGATCTGTTTCATATTTGGATATTTTACCAGAAAAGGTTGCAAATGGTAATCTAACACCAAAACATTATTATAAACGTTATAACTTTAACTTTTCAATCGTCAACTTACCTTGCGTATGCAGCAATATACCCTTATCACCTGCATATTGGGTGTATATCTCTCAGTTGATTCGATACAGAAGAGCTTGCTCTACGTATGAATAGTTTTTAAGACGAGGTACCGGTAAGTTATTGAAAAGCTGATGAAACAAGAATATAATCAGCCTCGTTTAAAATCACCACCTCGTCATTCTTTGGTCAATTCCATGACCTTGTAAGCAAATGACAATCTATCATTAAATCATATGCTGACTGACGTTTTTCATACTTATTGTTAGGCCAAAGTCGACTGATTTTCCCGTTACTTTCCTATCATAACAAGGAGCACGCGGCGGGTGTGATCGGTCGGCAGGGAACGCTCACTTTTCCATGGTACCTCTAATGTTTTTTGGAGATCCGTGTTTGCTCTGCTCCCAAATTGTGTTGTTTAAATAGACTTTGAGCTTGAATACTGTTTGTTGTCTCAATATTTCATTTCATTAACATCTGAAGTTGTTATTTTCAAGACTAAGATTGATTGATTGTTTGTTGTTTAACGTCCCTCTCGAGAATTTTTCACTCATATGGAGACGCCACCACTTGCCGGTGGGGGGCTACAAATTCTGACCTTTACTTGGCACTTACGGCTTTTGAGCAGTGAGGGATCTTAGTCGTGCCAGCACCTACTGCGACACGGGACCTCGGTTTATAAGGTCTCATCCGAAGGACCGGTCTCCACGTCGCACAGTGGGATTCAAACCCGCGACGTAAGGATCAACTCCTTACTTTGCGACCCTAGAGCAGACGCTTATCACTGCGCCAAGCGGGCGACTTCAAGAATAAGTGATATATTTTTCCAGCTGCATCCTAGAAATTTGCAACCAAATATGAAAACAATGTTAAGATATGCTATTAAACTATGGAAATTGTGAACACCAACGATTCTCCGAGTCAGTTTCTGTGTGTCTTTGTCTACTGGTGATGAAATTTTGAATAAATTAATTGCTGAAGGTATTAGCTTCAAAATTTAATGTATTTCATGATTACCTTTTTATCATTGTATTACCTAAATAATTGTGTTAAAAAGGGAAACATTTATGTTGGCTTTCAAAAATGCACAAAGTTTTAATCCTGAAAAAAAAAAAAAAAAGATAATAAATAAAAAACAAACAAACAAAAACAAAAGTAAAAAAACAAAAACGTGTTATGAGATACACACTGTAGCAAGTCAGTGGCAGCCCACATTATTTTAGTCAATCTAATAACTGAAATACTGTCCTTTAATATATTTTATTTTCTTCTTTTAACTAAAGGTTGTAAAGCAGGAATGTTTGGTTTAAACTGCCAGAAAAAATGTAGCGAAAACTGTTTAGTCACAAATCAGTGCAAAGCCACAACGGGGGAATGTGAGGATGGTTGCAAACCAGGTTGGAAAGGACTTTTATGCAACAAAGGTAACATTTTAGAAATGTACAACAAATCTGTTCAGTTTTATGACATGCTCATTAGACCAGACATTGTAATGTGAAAATGTGCAGATACAGGTTAAGATTTTCAATTTAGGCATCATCTTGTCCACAGAGCAATACGGAAAAAAAAGTAAGCCAAATCAGATCGTAAATATTGAGGCGTTCACCTAAACATCATGCATTGTTATTAAAGGGTGTCATTTGATCCAAATAAAACAATCAGATAAAACGTACACAAAGAAATATAAGTCCATAAAATTCTAGATTTCAAATCGATTCCACCAGCATTTCCCCCCTTTTTCACATGTAATCATGATTTATGATAAAGACAAAAAAACAAAACAAAGTTTTAAATCATTCATGAAACTTGTTTTGGAAACGTTTGTCCTTTCTTCAAGTTAAGGCTACTAAGCGATTGTCTTATCTGATAAGTGTGATCTTATATCATGGTCATAACAAATTTAAAGTGCTAACATGATATATAATAGCTGTTTTCCCATGAGCCTTGGAAGATGTAATATGCAAACTGAAAAAAAAAAAATGAAATGGCAAAAGTGTAGTTTTATCAAGGTAAAGCTATTTAATCTGGTCATGTAGAAGATGACAAAAACTGATGATATTATTTTTTATCCAGGTCGAAGGGTGTATGGAATACAACCCGGGGTAAATCCCTGTTAACACCCTTGATTGGTCCTGGATAACGAACTTATTTCCTATGTACTCAAATAAATCCTTTTTAAAACAAGTCCAATCAACTATGTTTCAAGCTATCGTTAAGATTTTAAACCACGTCCTGCAATGCATCGTGCATGTTATTTGCTTTTTATCATAGAGAAACTTTGCATTGTGACGTCTCGTTTTTACCCCCCCCCCCCCCCCCCGTCTCAAGTCGATTGTACGGAAATTTACACCCGACTTTGTAACCAATCAAAGCTCGTGTTACAAGCTACAATAGGAAATAAAAGAGTATACGTGCAGAAGAAGGAACTGCGAAACGGCTTGAAAAAAGATAGTTTTATATTAAACTTACTTTAAATTAACTTTTAGATCGTAAATATGTTGTTGTCTCCTTTTACTCTCCTACTTTATGAGCGAAAATCAAAAGACCGCGGATACATATACTCATATAGCATGTTTTTTGTTACTTTTACAGTTGTCACACCTTTGGTGATACATTTTGAATTTATTTATACTGAACACAGAATGCGCTGAAGGTCAATACGGTCTCAACTGCTGGGAGAACTGTAAAAAATTGTCGATATCAGCGTCCTTGTCATCACATCAATGGGACATGCACTGGCGGCTGTGATCCAGGTTATAGGGGGGACAAGTGCGACGAGGGTATGCATTGTTTATATTTACTTTTTTAATTAATTTTTTTTTAATTTTTTTAAAATTTTTTTACATGCACAATGGCACTAGAAATATCAAGCAGCATATTGTCATGTGAAATTCTTTTTGATTCAACGTTTTAAAATATATGATACTTTCTTTCCTCCAGTTTGCAATCTTGGTTACTATGGTGTTGATTGTGAAAAAGAATGTAGTTCCTTTTGTAAGATATCACGTGATTATAAACACGTGAATGGTTCCTGTAAAGAGGGATGTAAGGCTGGTTGGCAAGGACAAAACTGCTTACAAAGTAAGAAAGTTTAGTTTATTAGATTTAACATTTTTTTTAAATCTTTGTTAAAACTTCTTCTACTTGTATTTTTTTCATATCTTAGTTTTTGATAAATTATTTGGACATATTTCCTTACAAAGAACGAAAGATGTTTGCTTGTTGGAGATCTTCAATTATTTTTATCAACTGTTTCTAGTTTATCAAACGGTGTAAGCGTTTATTAAAATTAAAGCTACAGAATACTAACTACTTACCACATTAGTTACTCAAATTTTAAATCGTTCAGCTTTTTTTTAATAAAATTAAAAAAAACAACGTTTTTTATATACTTTACAGACCAATCACAAGAGGATACTGCTTGGCAGTCCCGATTTTATGGAGTTCTTGCTGCTTTATTTGTGTGTCTAGCAATCATTAAATTGCTAATTGGTATTATCATCATGCTGAAAAGGTATGAATAATCAAGGCCTAAAGAGAAGTAAATCTTTGCTGTATTATTTTATGCTGATCTTTAATTTTACAAGTTATATTGACGGAAGATATATCTTTTCGCAATCAGTGATCGTATTTAGATTTTTATGAAGTTATATTATCATTTTACAGAAAAAACAGAAATCCGGATCAACAATGCAATATTAGTTATATTAAGACCAATGAATATGAGTAGATATAAAGATCTTTATTAGAGACAGATACTGCTCATTTACGGAGATTATTTTACACACATCAGTACCATCATAAAAAAATTATATTATATATAATGTGTATTTCTGTTTGAATGTTCTGTTCCTCATTGTAAAAACGAGCTATGTATAGAGTAGGTAGAGGCAAATAGCCTTATTGGTATGCTTAACTATGGTAGATCGCATGTTTCCTTTATATATGTAACAATTTCAGTGTATGTACACAATGTCTTCGACCAAAGCTTTAATTTCGTCTACATTCGACCACAACGTAATAAAGGCAAAGTGGCATTCCATTTTGTTTTCATTTCTGATTGAAACAAATAATGTTTTTGTCATGCCTATAAAACCAGATTATATTTTATCTGTATTCTGTAAAGATGAAGTGAATTGTTACAGATTTGTTTTCTTGTGAAATGTATTTCATATACAATCGAATTTAATGCTAATAAAAAAAAAAAAAAAAATCATCAACCTGTCTATACCCAATTGTCGCTGTAAACATTGACAGCAAAGTATAATTTTAATACACTTGTTTTCCTTGTAACAAAGGCTGTCTGTATGTATAAAGTGAATAGAAATGTTATTGGTTGTGTTGAGGAAAGCATGAAAAACGAAATTTAATATTATTTAATATATGCTTATAGTTCGAGAAATAGGGCAAGTGATATAAACAGACAATACCGTGAAATCCTCTACCCCCACTTTGCCGTCCCCATTAATTAGCATTTCCTCTATCGGATCAAGAGATACAATTCATCTGCTTTGCTTTATATTTTAATGAACCTGTGCTTTGTCCTTAAACGTGGGTCAATAAAAGTATTAGCATTGGAGTGTCGGTGGATATGAATTCTAATGCTTGAAGCATATTTATAGTAAAATATTGCTCGTTTTGACTTAACGTATTTATATTAAATTCAAAGTACCAATGCTAATCTTCTCTACATGTTCTTGCATATTGTAAAATAATAAACACAATAACATTTTTTTCTCACCCTGTATATTATCGCATTTGGTTCCACTTTGTCCGATTCCTAATACGTTGAATCTCAATTGTTTTCAGAGGTTTCGGATCCCATACTTCTATGACTTCAAAATATTATTTTTTGAGTAATTTGAATCCTTCTTCTTCCGATTAAGCCGGCATATTCCCACTTTACGTACCAGGTGATGATATAAATTACTATACACTACATCTTGATAAAATTCCAAATTGATAATGTTTTACATTTACAATTATTGGGAATGGAGTCACCCAGGGTGTTTCACAATATATGTCACACATCTAAAGGCAGAAAGAAAAATTACAACAAAAGCTACATACATTTTATGTATCATTTTAATCAGCAGATATTCAACAATCTCCATTTCAGTTTCTATGGCAACTATTTCCTGAAATGTTATACCCCACGTGTGTTCCTTACCATTGTCCTAAATACCTTAAGAGACTCGTGTTTAGATTTCTGACCACTGCTTCGTACGTTTCACAGGATACTTGACAGTTTTCTTGTTTTAAACTAGATTTTTAGAACCCCCAAAGTGGATATTTATTTTCTTATTTAAAGATGCATTTAAATAAATGTGTCATTTCTGAACTACTGGTATGTGCTGACGTCCACCTCTCTCGCCCTTCCTTTCAATCAATTTTGCAAACTTAATCGACTCTGAATGTCAGTTGCCTTTAAATGCCGCAATGCTGAAATCTTGTATGCAGACACACTCAATTCAAATCGAAAATTTCTAAATACACTTGATACACTTACATTGTCCCAATCCATTTCCCTAAACTCAGATCTAACTGACTTTCTTAAGGTTTTCTCAATGATTGACTTCAATTTGACAATGTTGTGTGTGGGTGGGTGTGTGTGTGTGGGGGGGGGGGGGGGAGGATTTAACTGTCTTTCATCTTTACATTACATTTTGTTCAAACTTCTTAGTTTACCTTAATAAATAAAATCTAGATAGGGCTTTCTGGTCTGGATATTTTTCTTCATCACACCCTGTAGAATATTTAGGATATCGTGCTTATAATAAAAGTTTACAGATACAAATTTTTAAATTTCTAGTTGTACTCCATTTTGAGAACAACTGAAATCATGATATCACTGTTTATATCATCAGTGTACTTCATGAAATTATAATTTTCCCAATATTTTGCAATATCATAATTTTAGATTAATATGATTGTCTATGGTATTTTGGTATTTTTGGTATCGTGCTTGATATTCAGATTATGCCCATTAAGATGTGTGACATATATTATGAAACACTCTGTACATAAATAAAAAGGGACGTATCTTTCGGCAGCTATTAACATTAGTTAAAGGTCGAACAACCCTTTGGTAGGAAAAATAACTCCTCAAGAAATTAATCCTTAATTGTCTGATAGTTTGTCTTATCAGAGTGTTAAATTTGACACTACGATATCATCAATTCAATCAAAACTAATACATGACAAACATACACGAAGCTGTTTTAAAGCTGTCCGAAGTATTTAACTGCATTCACAACATATTATTACATTTCCAGCTCAGTTTTTGATTTCAGTATGTAGACTATGAACATAAATACAGACAATTTGGACAGTATCAACTACAAATTAACAGATTTGGTACGATATCGCATGACCCGGTTGATCGCATGACCCATGAAGTTTTGTTTTCTTTTGTCAAATTAATATCTTTGATAATTATTTATTACAATTTAAAAATGAACTTATGTAATGTATCATTTACCGTATATATAATTTTTATTAGTATTACCTGTTTTCCTGAAAGAAAGAATACTCATGTTGATGGATGCAGTTGTTTTTACAAACATAAAACCGACCTAATAAGCAACGTTTCATTATGTTTGTAATACAAATTAAATATGAAGGACAATTAAATTATTTTCATATTCATGTATACGCCTTTTTTATAGTATTATGTTGTAATAGTTAATTATTGTTCTTTTTATTCTCTGTGTCAAATAAATTAATTATACATCAAATCTATCTCTAAAAAGGTAAGCGCCCTTCGAACTATTTTCCATTTATAATGTCATTGTTGTTCATGAAAATCGATGTTGGGAAATTTAATTGTTCTTTCTTTAAGTTTATAGTGCAGAAGTCATTAGAACACAATTACGGCACTCTTTTTTCGCATTAAATTGTTTCTTGCATTTTTACATTGTAAAAATCTCCGATTTGCACCACTTTTTTTGTTGCTCGCTTCAGTTTTATTGTTTCTAAATATGCGTTCCCCCCTTGGCAATCAGATGTTAGAAGGTTATTCCCTATTCCCTATTGACTATTCGAATTGCGAACCCCATGCTGCGGCCGGTTCCTATTCAAATTACCGAAAGTGTCCTAATATTTTTTTTTTTTCAAAAAACTTGAATAACTCATTATAATACATGTTAAAGAAGCAAATCAAAGACATCGCTTAAAAAAGAAGACTGAGGACACCAGACCAATGTAGCTAGCCTGACCAAACTGATGACAATGGATAGAAAAGGTAAACCTTGAACCAGGAGCTGGTTAACATCCTGGGGCCCATATTTAGACCTTCATCATTTTCCGGAGGAAGAGTTTTGGAGTGACCCCTCGACCTTCAAAAGGAATTGAGTTTACAAGACGGTGAACCTGTTTAGCTAGCCCGGTCAATATTGGAAAAATCCCCTATATGACTGTTATTAGAGTACATAGTTCTAGGGGCTGGTTAACATCCTGGATCCCATATGTAAACCTTAATCTTTTTTACAGGAGAGGGGTCTGGGAGGGACCCTTTGACTGTCAAAAGGAGTTGAGTTTTCAACACCGGGAACCTATTTAGCTAGACCGGTCAAAATTTGAAAAACCCCGTATATAACTGATATAAGAGAACATAGTTCGAGGGTGCTGGTTAAAACCCTGGATCCAATATTTAGACCTTCATCTTTTTACAGGAGAGGGATCTGGGAGGGATCCCTTGACTGTCAAAAGGAATGGAGTTTAAGCGGTAACCTAATAAACTAGAACGGTCAATATTGGGAAAACCCGTATAAAATAGTTATAAGAGTACATAGTTCTAGGAGCTGGCTAACATCCTTGATCTCATATTTTGACCTTCATCTTTTTACAGGAGATGGGTCGGGGGGGGGGGGGACCCCTTGACTGTCAAAAGGAACTGAGTTTACAAGAGCGGTAACCCACTTAGCTAGCCCGAACAAAATTGGGAAAAACCCATATAATGTAGTTATAAGAGTACATAGTTCTAGGAGCTGGCTAACATCCTGGATCCCATATTTTGACCTTCATCTTTTTACAGGAGAGGGGTCTGGGAGGGACCCCTTGACTGTCAAAAAGAATCGAGTTTACAAAAGCGGTAACCTATTTAGCTAGCCCGGTCAAAATTGGGAGAAACCCGTATAATACGTTCTTTTTTTAGTTATTGAATCGGGTTCGGAAAGATTGAAATCAATATACACATGGGCATTATAAACAGAAGCTTCCTTACATCCTTCTAATAACGTTTCATGAATCTTGAATTTGAGATAAATATGCAACCTGTAAATTGTTACAGACATATTTTCTTTCATCTATGTTTTTAAAGAAACACTGCACAAACAAAGGCAATGAAAGAAAGCAGAAACTTCATTTTTGAGTAGCACTAACTGCTATGAATGAACTCCTGTGACCCCTTCGCAACCGAAAGAACTAAGCACGTTTACCCTCGATTTTCGCCTATACTTCACACACATTTAAATTAATATTAATGACAATTATGTCCTTAAAAATATTTTTCAA